ATAAGACTAACTCATTGTGCATCAAGTCTGAGTGACTGTCACATAAGATTTAGGCTGTATCAGAAAGAATTCCTCCCTCAGATACTCACTTGACCAATTCTCCAGTATCAAAATCCAAAGTAAAATGTAGAGAATTACAAAAAAATATCAAACACATCTATATTAATTCCCTGAAAATATTTTGGAAATCTCGGAATGTCTTAAATCATCTACAGGTTAGGAAGGAAAGTGGGCTTTAAATAGTCACTAAAACTATCAATGATGTAAGGAGAAATGGATCCTCATCCCTCAGGGAATCAGACTGGGAATTTTGAACACCAATTTAGCATCTTAACAAGAGCTCACATAAAAAATAAAAATAAATAAATTCCTTCAAAAAACGATATGCATTTTAAGTCCTAAGAATCATTTATTTTATGCTGGTAACTAAAGGAAATTACTCAAGGAAGAAAAGAACATAAAATTAGGTGACAATGCAAAAATTAATGGTCCTTGAAAGCTCTGGAAATTACATCCCCAAAGGCATTTCTAAACTGATCATGGCCACATATTACCAAGCCAGTGTACATGGTAACGTCCCTGGTCCCTCTGGGTATTTACTTTCCACCTTTTCATTAGTCTGTCTCCAGTACCATTTTCCTCAAAGCAAAATGCAATGGTGAGCCAGAGCAGTTCTGGAAACTCTGCCTATGCTGGACAAACAGAATCAGTCTACTATCATCTACAAAGGAGAACAGCTTCTTATTGCCTGGAGATCATGTAATAACCTCACCTGAAGTTGTTTCCTTCCAAAATGGTGCTTAGTTTCTTAAGGTTTATCTCACTGTGCCTCACTTCTACTAGGCCTATAACAAGGATCCAATCTCAGCACAGCCCCGGGGGAAGTTCATACATTTCGAAACTGAAAGTTCAACATTTCATTAGAGTATATCACAAATGCTTCTGTTCTCAGCTGTTGATTAACAATCACTGGATAGTCAATGAGTATCAATGAATGATGCAAAACCACTTAAATTATATCTTTCTCAAATTCCAATTACTCATTTGATTAATCTCAAATTACTCATTTGATTGCTGTTTCTCAACTTGCAAAATTCCATTTATAGGTACATGTTAGTTCTTCCATATAATTTGCATGTTTAAAAAATATTTTTAACTCTAACCATTTACATTGTTCTCTTGAGGTATTCTCCAGCTGATTTTCTAATTTATTTTTTTCAGTACAATATTTTTCTTCAACACAAAATTGAGTTTTATAATCAGAATTTCCAAAACTAATAGTAAAACTTATTGAAATAATAAAGCACCAAAAAATGACAGGACCATTAAAGATTCAGAATTTCAGGAACCAAGATTTGGTTCATGCTACTAGAAAAGAACCCCAGTCAGCTGAAGGTCATCCTGGGGTCAAATGGAAGGTGCAGTAGAGAGTGCAAGAAATAAAGATGTAAATGTGAATATTGATTAAGTCTCATGACCAATTGCAGAAACAGGGACTGTCATAGCAATGCACTATGTGTGTATATATATACACACATACATACATATATATATATATACATACATACACATACATATGTAATATATATATAGTTTCATTCAGTGCAAGCCAACTTCAGCAAAGGATACACATCACAGAAGTAGTGGTCTATCTCATTGGGGCCACAGAACGGTAAGAAGATGGTGATAAGAAACTGACTGGCAGAGTGTATAAATCCCCCAGTGCAGCAAGCCATGATGATTGTGTGACACCTCTGCCTGCTCATGATGACAGCGTAGTGCAGGGGCTTGCAGATGGCCACATAGCGGTCATAGGCCATCCCTGTGAGAATGAAGATCTCGACGCCTCCAAAGAAATGAGTGGTGGTAAAGAGCTGTATCATGCAGTTGTTATAGGAAATGGTCTTCCTTTCTGCCAGTAAATCAGCCATTAGTTTGGGGGTCACTGTGGATGTGTAGCAAAGATCAGAGAGTGAGAGGTAATTGAGGAGGAAATACATGGGTTGGTTAATTAGCTGAGTGCACCTGATAGAAATCATTATGAGTACATTTCCCATCCAAATAGCAATGTAGCAAAATAAAAAAGACACAAAGCAGAGGACTTCAATGTTCTGGTTTTGAGAAAATCCCAAGAGAATAAAAACAGTGACATTATTTCTATTTTCCATAGTCGTCCAGTACAGTAAAAATGCATAACAGCCACCTGAAAAGATATAATGCATAAGTCAGAATCAGAAATGTCATGGAGAATATGAAAGATAACACTAATATCAAGAAACTATGTTCAAAAGATATAATACCAGAGTTTCAGTAAATGAAAATCTGTTTTTTTTTTGAAAATCTGTTTTTTAATGAAAGTTTTTTTATTAGTCTCATGATGATTTTCATAGGTCATTCTTTCAAGACATTATCTTCAGTGGTGATATTAATAAAAATGAATGCATTCAATCAATTTTTTAAAGTTTTAAAAATTATTATTAGTTGCCAAACATTTCCCAATATACAGCTTACAAAAGACATAGATCTAGGTTCTAACCCAAAATGTTAAAGATGAAACCATAGATCATACATTTTTTTACAACCAAAAAATGACAGGACCATTAAAGATTCAGAATTTCAGGAACCAAGATTTGGTTCATGCTACTAGAAAAGAACCCCAGTCAGCTGAAGGTCATCCTGGGGTCAAATGGAAGGTGCAGTAGAGAGTGCAAGAAATAAAGATGTAAATGTGAATATTGATTAAGTCTCATGACCAATTGCAGAAACAGGGACTGTCATAGCAATGCACTATGTGTGTATATATATACACACATACATACATATATATATATATACATACATACACATACATATGTAATATATATATAGTTTCATATATATATGAATATATATATATAGTTTCATTTCTAGTTTCTTAGTTTTTATTAAGAAGGTTTTCATTAGTCAGTTTAACAATCTATTCTTCATGTTACAGATTATTCAAGAAGGATTGTAATCTAAACTAGAAGAAAAATTAACATTGAAATTGAACATAAGCCAGAACGTTTAGGATGTTGTGGTGTTTTGCAGGCGTTCGAGGGGTAAGTGAGACTACATTTGTAGAATCATCTTGTTCAGTGGAAGAATGAAAATGTTTATTTTTAAGGAGGTTCAAAATACATATAGAAGAGTGTTATGAGTGCTGAGTAGTCAAAGGAGTCAAATGTTCCTCTTACTTACTTGTTATCTTCTGCTGAAAAATCCACCTTTATACAAATATACTCTCCCCTGATATGCTGGGAGTAAGAGTCTTATAAATATAACTCTCCTTTATCAGATGGCTTAATGTTAGTTTTGGTCATTAAGGACACATTAGAATAAGATTGGAAATTAAAAGTATCGGAGAATAGACTTTACAAAACATTCAGAATAAAATGTCAAAGGAAGACATGAGGCAGGTATGTGAGGAGAATAGATGAAGAATGAATATGAAAAAATAAATAACAATTGCCAAACCAAGAGAGGTCTAAGCAAATGCGAGAGACACTGAACTCTGACCTGTGCCTGGCTCCTGCATGCACATTATGTTCTCATATCATTCCATATTAATTCTAGGACTNCAAAAGTTGCCAAAGCAATCAGACCTGAATTAAAAATTACCAAGAGACCAATTCTGTATGTATCAGTGCAAGCCAACTTCAGCAAAGGATAGACATCACAGAAGTAGTGGTCTATCTCATTGGGGCCAGAGAATGGTAAGAAGATAGTGAGAAGAAACTGACTGACAGAGTGTATAAATCCCCCAGTACAACAAGCCATGATGATTGTGTTACACCTCTGCCTGCTCATGATGACAGCGTAGTGCAGGGGCTTGCAGATGGCCACGTAGCGGTCATAGGCCATCCCTGTGAGAATGAAGATCTCAGTGCCTCCAAAGAAATGAGTGGTAAAGAGCTGTATCATGCAGTTGTTATAGGAAATGGTCTTCCTTTCTGCCAGTAAATCAGTCATTAGTCTGGGAGTCACTGTGGATGTGTAGCAAAGATCCTGGGAGTCACTGTGGATGTGTAGCAAAGATCAGAGAGTGAGAGATAATTGAGGAGGAAATACATGGGTTGGTTAATTAGCTGAGTGTACGTGATAGAAATCATTATGAGCACATTTCCCATCCAGATAGCAATGTAGCAAAATAAAAATAACACAAAGCAGAGGACTTCAATGTTCTGGTTTTGAGAAAATCCCAAGAGAATAAACACAGTGACATTATTTCTATTTTCCATAGTCGTCCAGTACAGTAAAAACGCATAACAGCCACCTGAAAAGATATAATGCATAAGTCAGAATCAGAAATGTCATGGAGAATATGAAAGATAACACTAATATCAAGAAACTATGTTCAAAAGATATGATACCAGAGTTTCAGTAAATGAAAATCTGTTTTTTAATGAAAGTTTTTTTATTAGTCTCATGATGATTTTCATAGGTCATTCTTTCAAGACATTATCTTCAGTGGTGATATTAATAAAAATGAATGCATTCAATCAATTTTTTAAAGTTTTAAAAATTATTATTAGTTGCCAAACATTTCCCAATATACAGCTTACAAAAGACATAGATCTAGGTTCTAACCCAAAATGTTAAAGATGAAACCATAGATCATACATTTTTTTACATATGTAAATTTTAACAGCAATTACTAGTGGAATATATTCTACCTCCAAATCCTTTCAGAGGGAAAAAAATTAAAAATTAATATAAATATAAACCCACATGGGGTCTTCCAAAAGTTCATGGAAAGATTCATACTATGTTTTAATCTCATTTTGCCACAAAATTTTTGAAGTACCCTCTGTGTATATACCTGCAATTCAAAGCGAAAGATAACTCTCAGCAAAGGAACCATGCAATTGGTTCTAGTAAATTTTCATTGCTTGTTTGCCTTTTACTTATTTGTGATTTAAAATGATAACACTTTATAACAAGTATATCTGTCCCTCTAGGCACTTCCATTGTAATCATGTACTTAAATGGTCCACAGAATAAAGCAGTTGTTAAAACTAAAAAAGAGGAGTAGAAGGCCGGTTTACCCAGATGGTTTTGCTTTTGACTCACTATATCATATTTTGCAAGTCAATTTTTTTCTGTTTTCTGAATTGAAGTCTGCAATTCTATTTTCTATTTTGTCCAACTTATGCCTCTTGCCAAAACCCATGAAGAATCCAGACATAGTGTAATTCAGAGAAAAGTTTATTGGAAAGTTTATGAGAAAAGGTTTATGTGAAGACAAATAGTTGGCACCTGGGTTCTATTACCTAACTATGTTACAGTGTGTGAATTTGGGTACCAATCGCTTCATTTCTTTGAATTAAAGTTTTCTCACTTATAAAATGGGGAAACCAGTCTGGACATTGTCTCAAAATGCATAGCCTGCACATTGTCTCAAAAATGTGTGACATACGGAATCTGTCTCTTGGTAATTTTTAATTCAGGTCTGATTGCTTTGGTGACTTTTGTGATTTTGGTGGTGTCTTACTTTCTGATATTATATTCCATCAGGGTTTACCCTGCAGAGAGCTGTACCAAATAAATGTGATTTATTTGTGTAACTCAAGTAAATCAATAAATGGCCAATGTTGTATTAGCCAA